GTGTGAGAAAATTAATTTAAAAATATGCATAAATTATTATAATAGGCTCATTGGATGTAATATTTATTCATATTGAATTATAAACTCAGGCAACATATTTAGTTTTTATAATGGCCTTTAATCATAAGACAACAAGTGTTTTCACAGATGAGTTGTAAGTTAACTGATTAGATGCAGTCAAATTCAGCCCCTGCCATTTAATAGCTGCTCCGTTTTGACCACCAGGTGTCGCTACTGAGCACCATGCTATGAAGCTTCCTGTAATGAACCCTTTTCTGATACATTTGGAAAAGAAGCAACACCAATAACAGGCAGGAAGGCAAACAAGAACGAACTCAAGCTAGAACTACAACTAGAACACAAGCAAGAAACATGCTGGTAACGCACACAAGAAGCAGCCACATACAGAGTACCCAAAAGAAACCCTACAACGACACGGGGAGAACATGAAAACTGCACAAACGTGGAACCCTGGCAGAAACTCCAACACAGGTCCCAAAGGTGTGAGGTGAATGTTGCCAATCACTGCACCACCGTGCTGCCTGAGCTTTATTCAGAATAAAATAAATATTAAATAAAAATAAAATATCACTGCAGGATATATAGAAAATTATGTTGCTACAATTATACATCAGCTGCCTGCAGATTCAAGACAGGAAAATTATTAGAGAAAAATCAATATACACCAGCGAGGAAGCGGATATGTCTCTGTGGTCACTGCGAGGACGCGGATATGTCTGTGAGGTCCCTGTGAGGACGCAGATATGTCTGTGAGGTCCCTGTGAGGACGCGGATATGTCTGTGTGGTCCCTGCGAGGACGCGGATATGTCTGTGAGGTCCCTGCGAGGACACAGATAAGTCTGTGTGGTCCCTGCGAGGATGCGGATATTTCTGTGAGGTCCCTACCAGGACGCGAATATGTCTGTGAGGTCCCTACTAGGACGTGGATATGTCTGTGAGGTCCCTGCGAGGATGCGGATATTTCTGTGAGGTCCCTGCCAGGACGCGGATATTTCTGTGAGGTCCCTACCAGGACACGGATATGTCTGTGTGGTCCCTGCGAGGATGCGGATATTTCTGTGAGGTCCCTACCAGGACGCGGATATGTCTGTGAGGTCCCTGCCAGGACGCGGATATTTCTGTGAGGTCCCTGCCAGGACACAGATAAGTCTGTGTGGTCCCTGCGAGGATGTGGATATTTCTGTGAGGTCCCTACCAGGACGTGGATATGTCTGTGAGGTCCCTGCCAGGACGCAGATATGTCTGTGAGGTCCCTGCATGGACACCAATATTTATCACAATATTCATCTACCTATTCATTAATTGTCTTAATCATACTTATTTTTATACAAAGATCACTATATGTGGTACTGTGTACTGTGTAATGCACAATATCACAAACAATTTCCTTCCGTATAATAAAAGCAGATACAGCAGTGAGAGGGTGGCATGGTGGTGCAGTTGTTAGCAATGTTCACACTTCTGGGACTAGGGTTCCAGTCTCCAGCATGGCTAAATATGTGTGGAGTTTCCATGTTCTCCCTGTGCTGTCGTGGATACTCTGGGTGCTCTGCTTTCCCCCACAGTCCAAAAACATGCTGAGGTTAATTGAAGTTACCAAATTGCACATATGTGAGTGACTAGTGTGTGTGTGATGGGGTGATGCCCCATCCTGGGTTGTTCCATGCCTTGCAACCATAGGCTCCAGACCCCCCAGGACCCTGAATAGGATAAGTGGTTACAAAAATACAAAGAGGCAGATATGCGACTGAGGAGACAGATATGCGAGCAAGGATGCAGATACTCCTGCAAAGACGCAGCAAAAATGCAGATATGCCTGTGAGGACAGAGTAAGGATGCAAATACAACAAGGATATAGATATACCAGCCAGGAGGAAGATAAGTTTGGGATAACACAGCAAGGATGCGGATACTCCAGCAAAGACACGGATACTCTTGCAAGATGCTGAATATTGTCACTCATGTTCAACTCATCGCTAAGAGCAATAGAAAAACAGTTCATAAATGGTCACATGACTGGGGAGTACAGCCTCACTCAGGGAGCGCCTCTCTCTCCCTCACAGAATCACATTGGCTGTGTCACTCCACAGAGTCTCAGTGGGTATGTCACTCGTGGCGGTGAACAGGTTTCTGAGCCATCCAGGCCGTGGTGTGGCTTTTCAGCACCGGATTCGACCATGGTGTGTGCGTGTCACCATCATCAGAAAGTGCCAAAAAATGCCATTTCTTTCCGGTCAGCATTTAGGGATTCTCCAACAACACCACCTGGATATGTCATGTCGGACCCCACTCCCACCATAAATCTTACAAAATGATTGTTCATGTAAACATTCATCTTCTGTTTATTTAATGAAAGTCAACAAAGCAGAGCATGAAGCAGGAAAGAACCTATGACTGGGGCCTCAGTAGCTCAGACTGAGAGATCTATAGGTCTTAGTAGTTAAAGTGGGCCGTAACGATCTGGAACGGTGCTCCAGCACCTTCGATTAATACATAAATAAATCTGATTGGCAGTTTCATACACAATAATATTAAACAAGTTCATTTTCCCTGCAGCCTGGCATTTCTCCAGATGATGCCATCGAGATACTACATCCACACTGCTACCTTTTCGTTTAACCCTCTCGCACATAAAAATGTAGCTTAACAATGAAAACAATCTCCATCCACACAGGTCTCTTTACATCGGTTATGAAAGTATTTCCATACACACTGAAACAAAAGTATATGACATATCTATCAGCCTGCATTTTCAGGGTTGGTGCCCATCCCAGATGCTTTATCAGGGGTTGCTGGCCATCCTGTTCCCTCCTCTGTCTTTCTACTTAGCCCCTAGTATGTTTCCTCTGTTCCCCAGACCTCCACATAGCTCAGTGGGTTGAGTGTGTGGCTCAGACTGTTAACCCAGGGGTTCACAGCTAACCAGCCTCATTGATTATTTTATATTTATCGATCGTCTGTTTCCCTGGTATTAATTGTTTTCTATTTGTTTCCCTGTCTTGTGTTTCCCATGCTTGTGTCCAGTTCACTTCTAGTCCTGTTTGCATTTTTGATTTATTGTTTTCTTAGTGCAGTTGTCCCAGTTTGCAGTTCAGGTTTTCTAGTTTAAGTGTTAGAGTTCCCAGTTCTGTGCTTGTTAATTTATACCATCTTTCGCTCATTGTCCTGCACCCTCAGTGATTGGAGAGTCATCTTATGTTCTCCACCTGCGCTTTTGGTAGCCCGATTGTGGTGTTTATTTAAGTGCCTGTCCCGCTTTGTTATGTAGTCCGTCATCATGTTTGTGTACTTTTACTGTGTGGAGTTGCTTTGCTTGTCTTTCCAATTCTGTTCTCTGTTGCCCAATTTGTCATAGTCAGAGGTTCATTAAACAAAAACAGATCACACTGGGAAACCAAAAGATAAAGGTCATTTTTCCCCACTGCACCACTAGATCAGATACTTGGGTTCCCACACCTGCCAAATCCCATGTTAACCCCTGGTCTTAGTTCTTTGGGTACGAAAACACTGAATGGTTAGTGTCCCTTGGTTGTGACAAGGTGAGCGTGAATAACCAACGAAAAGCCAAAAATGCTCCTGAGGAGGGACGGGACATTACAACACAACAACCACAATGACCAACTGAGGAGCAGAACAAAAGCAGGCACTTAAATGCACTAATAACAAGACTAGATGAGGGACAGATGAGAACCATAACCAATTAACCAATCACTAAGGACTCGAGGCAACAAAGAACAGGTGGGATTCATTTACAATCAACAGGCACTAGAGACTAGGGAACATTAACAAATACTGAGGGTTATCGACACTAGGAGAAACTTGGAACATAAGTAAAACAGAATAGAACTAAACAAGGCACTGGTAGGGTAAACCATTAACAAGGACACAAAAGCAGAGAGCTATTAATAATACAAGAAGAAAAAATAAAACCAAAATATCAAAGTTGAGTCTGGCCTGAAACTAATCATTCAAGAAATGTCTACCTCTGAGCTGCATGCTCAACCCATTGAGCCACACATTGGCCGTGGGAGCTGGGAAACACACTAGGGTAACACCAAGTAGGACGGCTAGCAGGAGCTGTTGACCAAACGGGGAGAAGAGGCACAGGATCCTGACAAATTGTTTATCTTCGTAACATGCAATTGCTGTAGAGGCTGCTGGGATTGCTGCCCTGTGAGGGAGTGGTGTAGACGCTGTGTGCACTAGTATTGTGCAGTGCTGTGCACCTGTTGAAGCGGTTGTTTGGAATTATTTGGAAGTATATTTGAGTGTTTGTGTGCCAGTACGGTTACGTGGGTGGTTGTTGTTGCATTTTTTTTCTTTTGGCGTGAGTGCTTGTCTGTGTTTGTTAGTAAACGGCGCGAGTGTTACCGACTGCCTTCCGAACGTGACATGTGGAGTTTAAGTCAAGGGAGGTGATGCTACAATTATACAATTCCTTGGTAAGACCCCACCAAGAATATTGTGTGCAGGTTTGGTCACCATACCTTAATGACATTGCTGCCTTGGAAAAGGTTCAATGTAGGGCTACAAGAATGATTCCTGATCTTAGAGGAATGTCTTATGAGGAGAGGTTAGCTGAGCTGAATCTATTTAGCCTAGGTATATAAGATTCTAACAGGTCTGCATGCTGTTCAGCCAAATGGCTATTTCAATATTAGTTTAAATACTAGAACTCGTGGCCATAAGTGGAAATTAGCGGGAGAACATATTAAACTTAATTTGAGAAAACATTTCTTTACACAGCGTGTAGTTAGAGTATGGAATAGTCTTCCTGCTAACTAGTGTATAGTACAAGCTAAAACTCTAGGTTCCTTTAAATCAGACCTAGATAAGATTTTAACAATGCTGAGCTATTAGTTAAGTTCTCCCCAAACGAGCTTGATGGGCCGAATGGCCTCCACTCGTTTGTAAATTTCTTATGTTCAATCTGTAAAAGAAAGTTTAAAATACTAACGGGAAAATTAAATTCAAGAACTAAAAATAATCACATTTATTTATTAGGGTGTTAACTACAAAATATATAGATGTATAAATTTGTTGACAGTTAAAAAGAAAAAGAACCAGTGCAGAACAATATGAACATTAAGAGCTCTAACAATTCATATGTGGAGTGTATAGAATATATACAAAATATATCTTTCCAGTGCTTTATATTATCTTTACTAAATATCATGTAATTTAAAAAACTTTTGTGCTCAAAAATTCGGTGCTAATATAACAAACCTGAGTGATACAAGTTAGCAAGATAATTTGTCTTAATATTCAGTGCAACTGCATATATCACATTGTGACCGTCACATGGAAAAGAAGTTGTGAAGACAAATAAGAAAAAGTGAATTCTACTCAAACGTAAGAGGCTTGACATTTAATAAAACAGAGTAATCCCTAAACCAAACTCAAATATAAGGTAGTTTCCAAGTGCCATCTCAATCAGCACCTTGGTTTCAGTAAGTCAGTTTATTTGATAGATATCTGATCTTGATGCCAGTTACTAGTTACTTCAACTGAATGTCAAAAGCAAGTGGACCCTTCATAGTAAAACCAAGTAAGAAAGAGACTTTCCCTACTTGACTACTCAGCTGCCTTTTGTAAAATGGCTTTACTTCAATGTTAAAATCTGCTTTGGAGGTATCTGCGAGTAGGGCATCCTTCTCCACTCGTCCCGTTACTCTGCAAAGCTGCTGCCGGACTGCTTCCTCATTCCATAACTTTCCGTTTTGAAACAAGGAGCTGATGTTTGCTTCTGACCCAACACTCTTGCTCATGTTCTCCTGGCTAACCAGGCTCCCGTAGCCTTTTTCCTTACCCAAGTAGAAATGGACAACAGGCCACTTAGCATGGCACACTGCTCCTAACTCTTTCTGGAAAGACCTTGACATTTGTGACACATAAGTACCCAGCCTCTCAGAAAATTTAGGTACACTTAACTGTGGCCACAACAAAGCAACAGCAATGAAATGCAGTTCCATACTGTCTTTGAATGTGGCAGGATGAGTGAGAACTTCAGATAGTGTCTTCTGGAGGGACTCGAATGGACGGATGCTTCTAGATTCTGGCTTGATGCAATAAAGGACAATATTTGCATAGATGAAGTTGATTCTTTCTTTTACACCATTAGATCCACCTGTGCTATTCTCTATAATGAAGGCATATTTCTCAACTATTTCTTCCATCTCATTACTTTCAATGTTGTTTGACAGGAAATTAAGTAGCCCAGAGTAGGTATCAGCGTTCTTGCTCTCCAGAAATTGCCAGTTTGAGGACAAATCATTCAGTTGTGTAGAGATGTTGCAAAAAACGTCAACATAAAAGGAAAAACACCTGGCAAGCTCACTTTGAATCTGTTCTTTCGAAGATGTTCTAGCTGTTAGGTGGACAAAAAAGCTGTTAAAGAAATCAAACTGTCTTTTCATGTTGTGTTGTAGGTTGCAGAGGATGTTGCTGTATTGCTGAACCACGCTGCAATAACCTGCAGAGTGTTTAAAAGGGTGAATCTTTAAGAAGTCATGGGTTTTTATTGACCCATTCAGAAAACATTTCATTGTGTTATACTGGTCTGAATTCAGTTGACTTTGTAGAATTTCCAAAATCATCACAGCCACCTGGATTTCTCCGAGGTGCCCGGCACTGTTGTAAGGAGTGTTGTCCCTTTTGTCTTCCTTTTTGGCAATCTCTTGTGTTTCTCTGAAGGCATCTGTAGCAGAGTGAGCCATTCTCAGATACTCATCAAGGCCTCCAGGTGTATCAGGAATAAGGTCTCTTTTTAATTCAAATTTGAGCTCATGCTTAATGACTTGTGCGCATGTGTCTGAAATATATGAGTTTTTTGGAGAAAGTTCCTGTGCTTGCCAAGCGCATTGCTCTGCCTGCCTGAAGTTTTTCTTCACTAGGTAGTGATATCTGGCAAGTAACTGGAACATGACTGCATTGTCAGTAAATCGCTCTACTGCGTTGAACAGCACAATCTCTATAGCCCCTGGACTTTCCTTTATAATATCCTGGACTAGAGGAGAGAACCGATTGTTCTCTCCTCCACACTTCATATCTCTTTTCACCAGAATGCTGTGGACATCCTCCCATAGTTTAGTTTTGCCCTGTACACAAGTAAAGAATTTGTTTTCCATCAACAAAAGGTTAGTGATCTCAGCTTTGGCTGCCTTTTTAGAAGCTACAAGTTCTTGCAGACAGCTTTCTGCCATGCTAGGGTGGATGATCTTCAGCGCATCATAGTCTACATTATCCTTCACCCTACATTGGGTCACAAGAGTGGAGAACTTGCCAAATGCATCCTCAACTTTGTTGGACCCGCAATATGGTTTTGTCTTAATTCCCAAAAATTCTTCACATAGAGATACTGAAAGATATGCACCCTTGCAGTATGTATTCAGGAGGAAGAGGACAGCAAGTAGCTCAGCATGCTTGTCCTCAAAATCAAAGCTCTTCAGTACATTTCGAGCAACGCCCTGAATGTATTCTGGTAAGAAATTCTTCTTCATGACCATAAAGCCATAGAATGTTTCTAAATCCTGCTTGTGGACTTCGTCAACTTCCCTTAACTTTTCTTGGAAACACTTCTGCTCTGGGGCTGAAAGATTGTTGCCAATCAAGACTGTGTCCTCAGTTAAATCAGTATTTTCCATTGACTCAATCCTCATGCAGTTCAGTAGTATGACCTGTGGGCACTGTGAACTAAGGTTCTTCTTTTCCATCTCTTTGACAATATGCTGTTTCAGATCGAACACAGAGTCCTTCTCTTCAAAATCATCCAACATCAGCAACACAGGAAGCTGAGCAGATTGTTCTACTGCCCCATAAGTCAAAAGCTGTACCACTTGGGAGGCCACGACAGCCAAATCAGATGATCCCTCTTTTAAGACAGCACAACGAAATGTGTCCTTCAGGGACCATAGGACATGCATTGCCAGGGTAGTGCCACCACAGCCAGGGAGATGGAACAAGTTAAATGATACGCAGGCAACATTCAGATTACAGAGGTTTGGAATGATGACATTCCTGATGACATCATATTTATCTCTCTTGATGAGGGATGTAGACCCAGGCTCTTCAGAGAAATAGAAGTTCCACCATGACACCTTCCCTCCTTTGTAAAAATGCTCCTCTATTTCGTGCTTGTTTAGATTGCCTCCCTCACATTCATTAACACAAAGAATGCTAAGAGCGTCCAGGTTAGCCTCCACCTTCTTACTTAAAAGGACCTTTTCACCATTGCCACAGAGCAGGAAACGGTGGGATTGATTGGATTGTCCTTCTCTGATTGACATTTCTTCTGTTTCACCCTGGAAAAAAAAAAAAATTATACATCTAAAGCAGAATTGTGCAATTTCATTTCTTACATTTCAATTCCTAACTTAAACAACTTAGGGGTCAATTCTCCCATGCACTTCCGTAAAAAACTTGACTTAAGCATATTCTCCCATCGACTTAAGTCTGGGGTTTAATTCATAGAAATATATAGGTATATAAAAAGTATATTACCAGTCTGCAGGATTCAAGTGACACCTGCCTTATCAACACGCCTAGCTGGTGAATCATAGGCTGAACAGCTGGGCCATTAAAAAAATTTCAATTCAATTTTCAGTTGAACTGAGTAAAAAAATATAGATTCAAGGGAAGTAGTGTGTCCTAGCAGCCCTAAGACGCACTGCATGGACTTTGCGCTCCTGCGAGAGTGGGACTCATCTCGATGTACTTCAACTGACCGACACTGCATGCATCGCATGTTTCTGGGTGGATCGTGAAATCAGGGGTGTCGTTAGCGATTTTGGGCGATGGGAGAATATGCAGCATAATAAATAAATTTATTCAATAAAAGACATTTTCATAAACATCTGTCATTGTTTCATCCTATGATCAGTGATGCAATATCTCATCAATTACCTCAGGCAGACTTTGTTCATCCATTGTGAGACAGTTCTCTCTGTCAGGAAAACACTCTGTGACATAAACATAGTCATGTAACATACTTATTGTTGGCTTTTTACTATAATGCTGTTATACTACTATAAAAAATGGTTCTTGTACCTGAATGTAATGCTTGTCTATAGCCTTTCCTGTGGCTTCCTGAAATATTCAACCAAACTCGCTGTGGCTCCCCATGAGACACTAGGAAAAAACGATGAAACAAAGATGAGTTTTCATCTGGACTTTCCTGAATATCTATTTGGCCTCATATGCATTTGTTTATCAAAATTTACTAGTGAGGATGGTAGCAAGGCACCCAAGATGCACACCACGACGCAAAGCTGTGCTGTGCAATGACAACGAAAACATCTAGGTGTGATACTGGGCTTTAAACAGAATTGAAATGACTAATGTCTCCAGCATTGCGCCAACAATCAAAAGAAAAGGAAAATATCTTCAGGGCAAAACTACCAGCTTGCCTGCTTCATATTCCCACTGAACTACCCAGTGTCTCATTTTACATATAGTTTTATATTAAGTTTTGGTTTGTTTCCCAAAGTAAGACACCATGACAAGAGACTCTTCTGGATAGCCCAGAAGGGCATAGTGGGATACCTGGGCATAAGCTTCATCTTGCAAGACAATGGAGAAACTCTCTGAAAATCCCACACAGTACAGTGAGACGCTGCCCATCAGGTACAGCAGCTCAACACAATAAAAACAATTTATTTCAAAACAAAAAGAAAGTAATGTTAAACGAAAGAGCAAATTTAAAAAGCCAGTTGTCATAATTAAAAATCAGTGGCATCTTGATTAAAACTCCTTAATCTTTACTGTTTTGTTTACTAGCTTTGTTGACAATACGTTCATAATACCACTGCATGTCAATGTTTAGAATGTAGAACTTTATCCAGAATAAA